CCCTATAGCTCATGTGGACTTTGTATGTTAGTCAAAAGTAGGAAAGGATATAGCTCTCTTTCTCGTTCTCAGCAAAATAGATTTTATGTCTTCTAAAGCGTGAGGGTGCATTTTGTGCAGAAGGCACATCTGACCAAAAGCTATAGGATAGCCTCGTTAATAATATTTAGGCTCTTGAGATGTCTTCTCCACAACACATACCCTTCAGATTAGAATCCAAAATTAGTTATATTTTAAGAAATATAAGCAGAGAAATTGATTTTGCAGTAAATAAAAGGCTAAGCGATTCCTGTGTTATATCATTTTTAACCTCATAGATCTAGAGACCTACAATGCTAAGTGTGCATGTGTCTTTGTGTGATGCAATAAAAGTAGTATGTTTGTTTCCTGTTGCACTTTGAAATGGAGGTTTATCCATTATCAGGGTTGTACCAGGTTTATCTGGCCTTTTGTCATTTTTTTGGGCAATTTGGGTGGCAATTTCTTTAGCGTCGTAAAAGAGAGAAGGCGTGAGAAATTTAATTTTCCTAAGGGAAGTTAGATAAGAAACAATCTAAATAAAATTTAGTATTTGAAAGCTGCAATTCACCTTGTAGTTGAACTGTTTAAGGTTTTGCCTTTAACCCCAACCATTTTGGAGGATGAAGAATGAGCAGAAACACCTTTATTCTCATTTTCCCCCTATTCCACTCCTGCTTGCAGGATTCATATCTTATCTTTAGCACAGTTGTCCAGGTTTGTACCAACGATTCCGTAGCTTTAAAAACTGCCAGACTGAATTCCGTGGGGCGAACCTAGTTTTGAGCGCCCGATGCATAGGTGACTCCACACCCTTGTTTATTAGTGTCGATGAAATCAAAATACAGGTTTTGTAACTCACGAGGTTGCCATTATGAAACACAACGTGGAAGTGGTGAAGGTATATTTCTGCTCCGTGATTCGTGGTTTTATTGCACGGCCTCTTTTTCAGCAGAACAGGCAAAGTGGTCGCCATCCCTGATACAGCTGGTCCTCGACTTACGACAGAGGCCAGAATTTCCAATGCTACTCCTGGCGGTTCTTAAGTGAGTTGCACCTGATTTTGCCATGGTGGTTAAGCAAAACAACTGCGGTTGTTAACTGAACCGTGAGGTTCTTAAGCGAATCCGTCTTCCCCCTTTGACTTTCCCTGTCCCAAACGACAGTCACGTAATCCTGGAATGCCGCAACTGTCATAAATACACATGCTGGTTGCCAAACGCCCGGATTCTGACTGCCAGAATGCTGCAAATGGTTGTAAGTGTGAGGACCGGACATACGTCACTTTTTTCAGTGCTGTTGTGACTTTGAACAGTTGTTGCCAAGCTTCTCGCCAGCTTTACAGCCTTTCTTTCGAACCCGACTTGAAATGCGGGTGAAAAATTGCAGAATTCACAGAGACGGTGGAGACGGTACTCTTCTGAGCTGCTGCTACTCGGAGGTGTATCTCCTCCTTCGGTCAATTGCAGTTCTGGAAATTAGCAGAGGAAGGAGCCCAGCTCGGTCGACACCTTTGGCGTTCCCGCCCTTTGGAATGGAGTCGGTTTAACTGGTTTTTTTACGGGCTGGGCCTGGATGAGAGGCTTTTGTATTCAGATGAAATGCCTGTTCTTAGGAAGTTGGCGATGATCTCAGTTTGCTGTAGCATATTTTC